TTCAAGAGGAAAACCACCTGGGAATAAGTTTTAAACTTTGCTAAAGGAAGTGCAGAGAAAGTGGGAGAATTCTGAAGGAAGTTTCTGAAAACTCGGGGAAGTACAAGGAACTTCAAATAGTAAAAGATTTTTTTTAAATACTCAACCCCCAAAACAAGAAATACCAAATCACAAAGAATTTTCAAATTCATAAATTTGATTAACCGTTTATATGAAAGAACGAAAATAAGTACAGGGAAGTTTAGAGAAATTTGAAGAATTTTACAGGAAATTATTAAGAAGTTCCGAAGGGCCCGTGGGTAAACAGTAAATATTAAATGCACTAGTCTTTCGCGTCATGTTTCGCAAAATTTCCGCCGAACAATTTAAACTATTTTTAACAAAAAAACTTTTAAAACACAGTGGCATGACCGGTTGTAGCGACACCTAGCGGTTGTCCTACTTCATTCTGCAAGCGTGCATCAGATAATTGTTACAGGTTAAAAGGTTTTTCTTTCGCTACCTGGAAAATCACCTGGAACACATTTTTTTCCAGAATTTTTGGTGGCAGACGAAAATAGCTGTTTATGCAACAAGTGTGTAAAGTGAACCTTTTTTTCACGAATGTGAAATTTGACGACTCATGACATCACATGACTGAAAAAAGGTACACACGTACTGCATGTAATATTTTTTCTACAACCAATAACATAATATGTGTAAAAAAATAAATTTAGACAAATACTTTACGTACTAGTGCACAAAGTATTTGCAGTGCGTAAAGTAATTTACAGAAAAATACTAAATTGACGACAGTGTTGACATCTGTCATTGACATTACCTTACGCACTAGGGTATGAAGTGAATTACTTTAAGCACTAGTGCATGAACTGAAATTTTACGTCTTCTGAAATCTGAATAGTGCGTAAAGTGAGTACTTCAAGCATGGTAGTAGAAAAAAGATATTTTGACTTACTTTTGTAAAACATGTAGGTATAGCAGTGTCTTCTGTTATATCAGGAATATAGTTTTTTTATATATATTTTTTGGCACCCAATTTATGAAGGGGCTACAGAGCCCCCTAAAACTTCACTAGCCCCGGGCCCCATGAAAGCTTAATCCGGCCATGCCCGGGTGTTGTTATATCCAGCACTTACCCGACGTTCGATTTGGCGCTGGAAACTGGCAAAATCAAGGCACATCGACATCCGTGAACGGATTATGCCGACAAAAAGCTTTGGTAAATCACACACTGATGGTAACAAAAAAAGGTTGTTTACTTTATTAGCGTACACAGCTAAGCACCCGTTCTATTCAAGATAAGGACGAGAACTCAAGTGGATCAAAAGTATCAGCATCATCAACTGAAGACGTAGATTCATCAAGAGGCAAATTTACCTCACGCCCAAAAACAACAAAGTTTGGAGTCAAGTTGGTGACTTGATGTCGGGCATACCGAATGGCGCACTAGCCTTTGCTAAAAGCCTATCCCAATGCCGATCATCTTTGCCTACATAACTAGAAAGAATGGTCTTGAGAACTCGATGAATTCGTTCCACCGGGTTGGCCTGTGGATGATAGTTATAGCTGTATAACGAGTCTCAATGCCATAGCCCTTTATAACATCTTGAAACACCTTACTCCAAAATTGGGGTCCATTGTCCAAAATAATCTTTCTCGGCACACCATAAATTAAAAGAACATGATCTTCCAACCATTTCAAAATATTACTAGATGTAGCAGAACGAAGAGGAAAAAACAAGCAAAATTTGCTAAAAACGTCTGATACGGTGAATATGTACGAATAACCAGAACTGGAGCGAGGAAGGGGACCAACGATATCCACGCTAATAATCTCCCAAGGTCTGGAAGCTGAGGATTGTAAACTACGCATTTGATCTACGGGATCTTTTTGTTCAGGTTTGGTTTTTGGGCAATCCTAGAAACGGTTTTAATTAATAATAGAGCGTTGATCCGTCGGAACAACTTCCAACCAGTAGCCACTCGGGGATGACAGGTAATAACTGCCTGAATAACAGTAACTGATCCGGACAAAGTATCGGGAACAACATTCTCTTTTCCCTTATGATGAACCACATCGAAATCGTACTGTTAGAGCCTGAGAGCCCAACGAGCAATTCGTCCTACTGGATCCTTTTGAGATAAGCCACTTCAAACTGTAGTGGTCAACGATAACTGTAAATTTGGTACCTTCGATGCATGGATGCAATTTCTCGACAGCAAATAATACTGCCAAGTATGCCTTTTCGGTCGTGATATATTTTACTTGTAGTATATTTACTTTTTGGTCGTGATATATTTTCTTTCATCTTTATTGAGAGAGCGACTGAGATAACTTATGACGTGGTCTTCTTTGTCTTGAATCTGCGTTAAAACCGCACCAAGACCAAAATCAGAAGCATCATATTGTATGCAAAAAGGTTTGTCGAAATCGGACAGCACACGGGAATTTACAAGATATTAGGTTTGTTCGGACTTAGTTCAGAATCAGTTCTGAATTGAACTGCTCACGCGCATTTGTTTATTTATGTTCGGTATGAACAAATGCGGAAGCGCAGTTCAATTCAGAACTGATTCTGAACTAAGTCCGAACAAACCTATTCTTTTATGGTTTCGAAAGCCTGGTTACATTTTTCATCCCATACAAATTTCATATTTTTGCGTGTCAAAGAAGTTAGTGGAGAAATTATAGTGGAAAAATTAGGCACAAATCTTCGATACCATGATGCCAAACCCACATTCGTCTTACCTCACTGACGTTCCTGGGAGGAGGAATTTCCAATGTGGCCTTGATCTTGTCCGGATCAACCAACACACCAGAGCAGTTGACCCCATACCTTAATTCAGTCCAAGTGAGGCGATCGATTACTTCACGTAATATTTTAATATGCTCCTCAAGGGAGGAAGTGCAAATAATTACATCATCTAGATAGACGAATACGTACTTCTCAAACTCAACACCAATAACTCGATCTATAGGTCGTTGCCGGACAGCAGGAGCGTTGGTAAGACCAAAGGGCATTCGTCTAAATTGAAATAGACCTCGGGATGGAACAATAAACGCAGTAAGGGGTTTGGAACTTTCTGAAATAGGAATCTGCCAATATGCTGATTTGATGTTTGAGGTACTGAGAAAGTGAGCGTCTCTCAATTTATCCAACGTAGTCGAAACCCTTGGAAGAGGATATGAGTCCGAGATGGTGACTCGATTCAAGGCTCTGAAATCAACACAGAATCTCCATCCGCCAATTTTTCTTAATCATACCGATTGGGGAAGCCCATGGAGATTCAGAAGGCTCTACGATCCCATCAGCAATCATTTTATCCAATTCGGTATTTACCTCATTTTGTAAAACTCGAGACAGCGGATAATAGCGCTGTTTTATTGGGGGTGAGTCAGTTTTAATAACCAACTCAACTAGATTGGTGCATCCAAGTTTATCACCCATTTTCGCAAAAGTCTCATCAACCAAAGTTTTCAAGATACATTCTTGCATTCCGATTTTTATCTAAAAATCAACTCTTAGAATTAGATTATACGAAAAAGATGGAACAATCAGAACGTCAATAAGGACATCACGATCTCGAAGACGAATGGGTACCAAAACTGAACCAACAACTTGGCCATTTTGTCCTTTTGCCACAGTACAAAAGGAACTTGTAGGTTTGGGACTGCAAAGGGATTTCAACCTTCTCCAAGAATAGTGCTACTTTATTCTACTAGTTAAAATAAAGTGCTACTTTATTGTATTTCCTACCTGGACTACTTGACAACCTGCCAAGATGAAACAGAAAGAACTATCGATGGAATTATTGAAAATGGAAATTTATTCGAGGTTTTTGCCTACCCAGCAGATGACGTCACAATCTGTGGATTTCCATTAGGATCTGAGGCTGTTTCTCAATTTTAAAGGATGAACGGTGATATTGCTCGTTCTGTTGTATTCATTAATTAATTGATCCTAGTGTCAACTAGCTGCTTGGGAAAGGAGGACCCGGTATTCAAACTTATTAATTTAATTGCCGATTCGATCGAATGTTTATTGCAATTCAGCAATAAATTGATATAAATTGCGCTGCAAGCCGCAGACTTAAACCAGTGCAAGTACCTCTCGTTGGAAAAGCCCCTTTGGAATTAAGTCTCTCCAGTGCAAGTACCTCCTGTTGGGAACGCCCCTCTGGGTATCTTCAGCCTTATCGTAGTCTAGTGCAATTACCTCTCGTTGGGAACGCCCCTCTGGACAAGGCATAAGGGTGACGATAAACTTATCTACAGTCCCCCAAGCAGCATTGACGTGTGGCCCCCTATAAGGACCCCAGTGTACGAAGGGTCATGTATCTTATAGGATTAGCGTACATGTAAGGTTATATTTGGGAAAATATATATCTATATTTTTATATAACCGGAGCGAGTTTCTCTCCATCAACCCCCAAAGCTACAAACCCCCCATGTCACCCCCGTAAAGCGGGTAGTTGTGACACTAGTATTCCTTTTGTAGTAAAAACCGACACTTCAGACTGATCTTATATTTAATATGGCACACTCGAGCATATATTGATAAAAAATTTGAAAAATCTAAGATGACGTTTAGAATTTTCTTGTTTCAATTTCGATATGGTTTCATTGTTATTCTTTGTGATAGTACCTAGTCTCATTTATCCAAAAACCCGCTAACACAACAAAACTACACAAAACAAAGGGCAATTATTGATCATTTAGAAAATGAAAAGATCAGAGTAGTGGACATAATGAAGCGAGTAGGTATTCCCAAGTAGAAGTGGGCAAGCAATGTTGCACGACAAAATGTGCGAAATAAATGGAAAAAATTGTATAATGAAGCCCTTAATTGGCGCGTGAATTTTTGGACGACCACAAAATGACGATATCAAGTAGATGGTGGGTAGAAACTGACATAAATTGGCTCTAGAAAAAAACCATTGAAAATTGGATCACTCATCAACTCAATACCTCATTTAGAAAGACAATGTTTTATACTTACCTACAGTGCATTTCCACTTTAAACTCGTCATCTGTTCTAAAATCCGCATCAAATGCGTTAAACTCATTTTGAAATTTTGACAAACACATGCTTTTCTGATCGGGCCTATCGATAATTTTCCTCATGCAATCTATCACGTACTGAGCAAAGGGCATGACCGAATCTAAATTAGATCTTATCAAGAAAAATACTTCTTTCAAGTCGGTGGTGTAGATTTCTTCTACTGTTTCCCAAACGGTCGCCAAAGAAACCTAAAAACCAATAGGGAATTTAAGAAAAAAATTATCCACTTAAGCTTACCAATAATTCATCGGGACAAGTAGATTGACAATATTCGCGTTGTTCAGTTTCTGGCAATTCCGAATTCAAGTCCTCCGCTTCATCATACTCTTCCTCATCATCTTCATTTGGTACTTGTACACTTTTATTTACAAAAACTATCACAATTTGAGTTTTGCCTTTTTTATCTTTCGCGTCCACAATCACCTTTGTACTATGTATCACATCAAATGTTGGTTTCTTCAATTTACGACCAACTTTAGTAGCTTTAACTGATCTAGTTATGTGTTCGTGCAAATGAGCAGTTTCTCCGAATAGTTCCGAGGAAGCTTTCAAAGGTAAACTATAATCTCCGATAATCAATTTGCCCAAGTACTTCGTGGTACCCCAATCTAGCTCTTTATAGTACATTGAATAGTTGGCTCCTGCATCGGAATAGAATTTATCCAAAGAATCCACATTGACGGGTGATTGTTCATGAATAGGTGGCAATAGGGCGTCACAATTTGTATCATCAACAGATAATTTTTTCAATCTAACAAACGCAGTTAGAGCTGTATCGTAAACCTGGACAGGTTTAGGTACTATAGGATTAGAAAGAAGCTTTGAATGCCTTTTTGTATCAATATCATCAAAAGTTGTTGGGCCTAGATTCACTCCTGTCAAGGCCTCTTCAATCAACAACGCTTGATCCAAATTTGTGGGATAATTGACTAAAACCCAACCTTTAAGATTGGAAATTGACCTCAAGTATTCTATAAACATGTCGATTAACAGGACATCTCCTATAGATTTTCCTTGTTCTAACAGATCTTGAGCAGCTTTGCCTAATTGGGCTGAATGGGTATAAGGAATTGCTTCACAAGGGTATTTTTGAGGAGTTTGAACCTTTTTTGTTTGAGGTTCTGTTGGTTCACTTATTATTTCTTCTTCTACAGGTTGCTGACTTGATGATTTTTGTCCTTTTTTCAATCTTGCTACTTCTTTGATAGGTTCTTTGATTAGCGGAACATCGTCTTCTTCTTCCTCTTCTTCTTTTCTCTTGGTCTCTTGTTTATAAACGGCAAGACAATAATCAACCGCGTCATTTAACTCGATTACTTTAATATGTTTTTTTCTGAGAAGTTTCCTTAAGTTTGGTAATATGGATGCGTCGATAAGGCCGTTGAGGCATACACGTGTTGATATTTGTGGAAAATAGGGTTTTTCAAATAAAGGAAGTCTAGGATATTTGCGTTCTAAGCTCCGGTGGACGATGTAACCTATATTTGAAGATAAAATATTCAAAATGTTAATTTGTGGAATGAATATCTACCTAGAATTTATTTAATTTAATTTCCATGACCAATACGAATACGATGGGATCATTCGCATACGAAATCTACGTAAATTAAATCTAAATATAGATCTAACGAACAAAAGACTTTTTAATGATTCAACAGAAATCCCTTTAGTTTATCGTGTGGATTTTAGTATACAGAAAATTTAAGTTCCATCGTTGACTATTGTTACAAAGAATATCAACACTAATATTTCTGAGGAAAAAAAATTTTCATGCCATTTGGCCTAAAAAATGCTCCGGTAACTTTTCAAAGAGTCATGGATAATGTCCTTAAAGACCTTCAAAGGAAAATATGTCTCATCTACCATGGACGATATCATAATCTCCTCAATTTCTCTACAAGAACATATTACTAATATCAAAATAGTTTTTGCCCGACTTAGGAAACACAACCTTAAAGCTCAACTCGATAAATCCGAATTTCTTCAAAAAAACAGTTGAATTTCTAGGTCGTCACGTTATAGCTCCGAAAAGCATAAAACCCAATCCTAAAAAAGTTGAGGCAATCAAAAAGTTTCCCATCCCTAAAACACCCAAAAAAATCAAGTCTTGTTTAGGTCTCGTAGGCCATTATAGGAAATTCCCCGGGAAATTCATCAAAGTTTTTGCAAAGTTGACAAAACCTCTTACGTGGAGCATTCGTTAGAGTTCTCTCAAAGTTTCGAAACATGCAAAAACATTCTAATGAACGACCCCATTTTTCAACATCCCGATTTTTCAAAACAATTTAATCTAACAACAGATGCATCCAACTTCGCTATGAGAGCTGTTTTGTCCCAAGGTCCAATTGGTAAAGGCCCCACCTTTTCATTTTTCGGTACCTGATTTAAAATTATAACTTTCTTCAATGGTTGTTTTCCGGTCAAAGAACCAGGCACCAAACTAGTTAGATGGTGCCTGAAATTGAAAGAATAGGACAAAAAAGGCAAGCAAAACACTCAGACGATCAACTAACAATCATTCCGAAAACTGACCCTAACGACGTACCTCAACTGTCTTGTGACGAATTCGAAGAAATTCTCAATTCACTTCCACCAGAAAACCTCCCAGAGGAAAAACCCAAAATTAAGATCAACATGAGAACAGCAAGCAAACAAAAACCTAAGATAATTTGGAAAACCTGATCTAGAAACCAAACACTTCAGTGCTGACAACCCAGTAATTGGTGCCCCTTACGTACAGGAAGCCCTGAATGTATACATAAACCAAATAGTTTTTCGATATTCAAACAATATTTAGATTAAATTGCAGAAACAGCAAACATTCAATAAACAAAGAATTACCTATATCCTATATCTTCTTGAATTGAATTTTGTTCCGGAAAATACCTATTGTTTACATTTTATCGATAAAACTATTGAACGTACCTATTCTGCTAAATATCTTCGAAAAATACTTCAAATATAATTCTTCCACCCTGCGAATATCCAACAAACTTATGGAGGATATTCACGATTATGATGAACAGCAACTGAAAATAAAGTACCTACTTTCACGAAACAAAAACATCCCATCCGAGATATACAAGAAAATATCAAGAAGAACTTTTATTGGCCAAATCTTGAAAATGACGTAAAAACGTACATAAACATATGCGAAATTTGCCAAAAATCCAAGTACAGTGGGAATCATTGCAATTGGCACACACTATATAAATATCCCTCGTAATGTGTCAAATCTGACACACAGTAATAGCAAAATGCTGCAGTAAATAGATTTATTGGTTAGAATTTTGACTTAATACGAGGGATTTTAAAGAGTGTGTGCCAATTGCAATGATTCCCACTGTACAAAAGGCACCCGAACAAACTAATTTTCAAACCCACACCTCAATCATTACGGACTTCCAAAAAAACAACCGATAATGGTTCCACATAACCAGATTATTCAAATCCTATGCTCTCTACATCAAATTGAGATACACTATTCCATCCCACATAACCCAAATTCGAACAGCCCTATTGAATGCCTACACTCAACCCTAAGCGAAACTATCCTTACATTGAAAAATGAAAATATCGTAAATCTGATAAATTACGCTATTTTTTCATATAACAATTCTTCAAAGGCAAACTAGCCTACAAAAATCCGTTGGAACTCTCCGAAGACCAGAAGTTATCTCACATCCCCATACATCCAAGATCACTCTGACAATCTCAAAATAATCACTCAAGAATTCCACGAAAAAATCACGACCCAACAAAAATCAAAATTAGGGAAAATAAACAAGAATAGGCAAGAGAACATCGATCTCGAAAAACCGTTATACACCAAAACATTTACCAAACGATCAAAAATAAAGGAAACTAACAAATATAAGGAAATCCATGAAGCAATCAGTAAGAAAGAAAGCACCTTTTTTGTCACAAAATCAAAAGATTCATAAAAACCTACTAAAACCACAACTCATTATTGTTTCAAATGGAACTCTGCCTTCTGCTTCTAATACCTACTACATCCCTGGCTATGAACTTAGAATTAGAATAGAATAAAAGAAATTGAAAATCCTGTTCTACCCTTATCCGTAGTAGCGCAGGGTCTATGCATTGTTTTATATGGGTAACGTTCAAGAAATTAGAGACAAGCTGAAACTTGGTAAGAGACTTTTGTTACATTTTTCTGAATAACTCCAAAACTAACCATTTTAGGAAAAAATTTAAGGAGAGAATAATTGTAGAGAAGAAAATTTCCTACCAAATAGGCATATATTATATCATTTTTTTTCAGATGTTCAGTGGCGTAGATATTAGGTATTTAATTAAAGAGGTTTTTCTAAAAACCCCACTTACTTATGTTTAACCTTAAATCTGTGGGTAAAGGCTGAATCAGCTATGGGTGACAGTAAAAAGTAACAGAGGATGAAAACTCGCACAAAAGTTAAAAATAGTTTAACTTTTTTGCGATATCGCAAGTTGACATTTGAAATTACCCCGCTGTGCTACAAACTTTGAACATTTCGCGCCCGCAACGCAATTTTCCGCTTCATGAGAACTTGTCTTGCCTCAACAACCACCCCCACTCCAATCGTGGGCATTTCAGCTTTTCTGGTACATATCATTCTCCGTTTAGGCGTTTAGTATGTAGTTAGGTACTTGTAGTAGAAATTGCAAATATTATGACGGTTAGAATACACGAAAAGTGTTGAAAAATGTATTTGATCAAAAAGAAGGAGAGCTTAGAAAATAATGAGTCTTCACAGCGTAGTGGTATGTCTTCAGGAGCTTCTCTAAGGTCATGTAACGTAAGTGAGAAGTTTGATTTTAAAACACAGTGTCGCTATTTTGAAGTGATGTGCCTGTACGCAATGTAAACGTAAACAATTGATTGTCTACGCGTAGACAATTCAAATTGTTTACGTGAGCATTTGTCTATACATTGTCTACATGAGGCGTAAACAATAATTTATTTTAAAAAATTCGGAAAAAAATATCAAAAGTTACTATGCTATCACTATCACTTTGATATTAGGCATTCACTGATTATAAAATATCAAAAAACCAATAATAAAATAAAAATAATTTAAAAAAAAGGAAAGTGTGAGGCTAAAATTAAACGTCATTTATATTATTTTACATTGTTGACACGTGGTCTACATTGTCTACATTGTCTACATTATCTAAACGTAAAGTAGACAATGAAAGTCTACGTGTAGACGCACATCCCTGCTATTTTGTGATGAAGAATGTAATAAATTTGCCAACGAAAAAAATAACAGGAAATTCAGAGTACAACATTAAAAATTAAAAACAATACATATTGAATAACAATGTGATGTGGTGTCCAAAATAACGAATTGGCACTTCAAATGTAGGTATATTAGAATAAATTCATCTAATGACTTTAGTCGCTGCTGAAGGAGGTTACCATAAATTATGCCATTATAGTTTTTTTAAACCATTGAAAGATACCCCACTTGGAAGACCATGTGATAAGCTATGCGATAAAGCATTTTCCTGACTTTATAGTTATATAAAGGACAATCTCGAAATTTCTGAATTTCATCCTATACAAAATACACCCTATTCCAATTCTCGATCAAGCAATATACATATCGAATCCGTTCAAGAAGAGTTTTTAACCACTGCAGAAGAATGTCCGCAGCTCGAAGAATAGACATGATGACAGATTATGAAAAACTTTCCTATAAAGTTCGGAAATGTGTATTATTTACAATGAATAACATATTTCTGCAGATAATGAATGATATTTTAGTTTTCATATTTGAAATTCGCTCCAAAACGCTTCTAATAAGTATCGTTGTGTCACTAGTGACGTCACGTTTGAGTAAACAAAACTTAAACACTAGAAGTTCCTCAAGGGATATTTGATTTTGAATAATTTTGATATACAAGTGGTGTGCGGTTTCTCAGTGTAATAATACATCAATAAAAACTCCTGAAATAGCTATTTACCTAACAAGTGCGGAAAATCGATTTTTCCGCGCGGCTGTAGGAAAAGTTATTTGCGTTCGTTCCACAAAAGAAAACAATAATACGGGACAAGTGTACCTTGCAAGGTAAGGCGAGATTCAAGATTCAACAGCAATATTGCCTAGTACCTACCTACTTACCTTTATTTTTGTGAAAATCATTTCGACGCAAACATTTAATTTATTTTGTAGATTCTAATTAATTATATAGGGTATACCATTTAAAACGAAACAGGCTGAATATCTGATGCGAATTTTATTTTTCAAAAAAATCGCTCATATACGTAATTTGATTCTGTGAGTGTTTGAAACATTTTCAGCACTAACCTAACCCTCTAGGGGGGCTAGGACCAACACTTACCATTCCAAATGGAACAGAGGGTCGAATGATACCTGTTTCAAACGACCGTTCAATTTTTTTTCAAATGACATCAAATGAAAGAGAATTGAATGCTCTTTTGAAAGAGGTATCACTCGACCCCTTGTTCCAT